AGTGCTGGGATTAGAGGCATGTTCCACCATGCCCAGCTGAATATAAATCTTTGAACAGGATTTTGTGAGTCTTTGATTTATATTTTGTTAACTGATGAAGTAGAAAAGGAAAAGGCTGAGACATTTTATGTGGACTAACAAGTAGATAAATAAAAATGCCTTTGAGAATACAAATAAGTCTACAAACACGTATAATCAAATTGGGTGGGAAACAACTTATTAAATACGAGCTCTCCACTATTCCCTGAGTTTCAGTATTCTTTTAGATTTCCAGGTCATGTAAGGGGTGCTTCATCTGCTGTTTTCCTGCAGATGTTCATCTTCTCTTTGTCATTTGAAAGTCTCTCTCTACTTCATCTCCATTAACACTGACCCACCCAGATTTTTCTAGATACTGAAAATTCTAAAACTGTATTTTCCTCTAAAAAATATTTATATCTGTTCCAGATTTGTTACTTCGGAAGCTCAATCACAACCCATGTAAAACAAAGGTATTTTCCCAGGGTAAAGATAGAAAGTTTTCAAGAATTTATCTACGGGTGAGGATGAAAGGGGTTTTGTTCTCGGGAGATGTTCATGCTATTTATTGGTCACTTGGCAAGGTAGCCATGTGTCTCTTTCAGACAACTTTTGTCTTGTCTGTTTTTTTCTGTTTGGACAAACCAGTTAGAAGTTGTGTACCTATTATAATATAAAATAGAATAGTGCTGCCTTATCTGAGGGGGATACGATTCCATGTGCCCATGTAGGATTCCAACAGTGGATAATAATCCCATGTACACATATACACAAAATAGCATTTTATATACATATAAACATGTGAAAATTTATTTATTTGTAATTTAGGGAAGGGTGTACAGGGTGTTTAGGGTGTCACTACTAGATTGGACTACAGCAATCCGCCTATTTACAGCCTCGGAAGAGCTGGGATTACAGGCACAGCCAGGTAAGCCCAGACTCAACTGCCCTCTCAGCGCACCCTGGGGGTGGGGCCAACAAGGCAGACCCAGGGATTCAACCCTGGCCCCTGTGTCTGCATGCATGTGTGCGCTTTAATGTGCTTAACTATTTGGCCAGCCTTAAAAATTATATTGATAAATTACGCAAATGTAGTCATACTACTTAACACTGAAATGGTTATAATATATAATTGGTGCCATGTGAATTCCTGTATTTCTCTGAATCTTGCCTGTTATTGTATTTACCTTTCTTCTCAAGATGTGACATCCCATAAGAGATGTTACATGATGGATCACAGTGGCATGAGGTTTGTGCTACTGAGATGGCACGTGATTGGAAATTTGTCAATCTTTATTTCTGAAATTTCACATATTATTAGATCCTGATAACTCACAGAATTAACAAACAAATAAAGGCTATTACTACCTTAGCTGGTACCACACACCATCCACTAGACAGACAGGGGCAAAGATTGTGCCCCCAAGCCCGGACAGCCCTGCATCTTAGTAGCTGGTAGGTGAATACGATGCTTGTTTTCATACATTGAATTCATATATCTGTGGTCATCATATTGTGCAGCACGTGGTGGATCTCCATTTTTCAGTTAACAATGTGGCCTCATAACTACTGCTATGGATTCTGCTTCGTGGTACCACAAAAGTTATGTGGATTTTCTTTAGAAACAAAGAAAAGATGCTGAGCTCCTTATAGAGCTACATATTCAGGAACGCTGCTACGTGTAGATGATGTACTTTCCTACTGGAGGCACTGTTTAACTTCTACTTTGTTAGGGCTGGCCGAAGACCACAGCAGATCAAATGCCTGCTTAGGCAGACGCAGCAGCCAGGGTTCAGTACCCGGCCTGCCATGCTGTCCCCACCCTGATGGTGCACTGAGACGACAAGGCAACTGAGACTGGGCCTGGTGGAACGCATCTGTAATTCCAGTTCTTAGGAGGCTGAACACGGCAGATCACTGAGTCCAGTCTACAGTGAGCCCCTGTAAATCCTTCCTAAAATACCAAAAAAAAAAAGGCAAAGATTAATAATTGGAAAATATGACAAATATTTTACAAGTGGAAACAGGAGGAAGAAATGAGAGGAGCAGGGAAAAAAGGAGTGGAAAGGGGAAACATGATTTAAAATGTACTGTGTACACATGCTATGTTCTGGCAACAAATGTAAGCATTACATATTGTGGGTTTTTTTGGGGGGGTTGGTTGTTTGTTTTTGGCGGAACCAGGGATTGAATTCAGGCCCTGGTGCTTGCCAGGCAAGCGCTTATTCTAGTGAGCTATCTCCCCGGCCCCTAAGCATTACATATCGTGAACATATACTAACAAAGTGTTTAGTCCACGTGCTGCAAAGTTAACACTAATAAAAAATTTAACTTGTAAGAATGTTCTTGTTTTGGACTGTTAATCTTCTCGTCAGCATGACTTGATGGAGACATGTCATAAAACCTGGTAAAGCACACTTCTGTGTGTCTGTGTATGTTCCAGAGAAAATAACTGATATGTGGACCACTAATCTGAGTGGACAACAACCATCAAAAAGTCCTTTGAGAAAAGCAGAAAAACAAATTCTTATATACATGCATATACATACGCTCCACTGTAATACACTTTCTAATAGCCCTGAGGAGAATACAGTGAGGTTGCTGTTATGTACACCAGTAAAACTGAGTGGTTACAGATGTTTCTTGAGCTAGGAAGTGGAAACAGTTGGTTAACTCAACAAAGTTGAAATAAAATGCATTAAATATGTACTTAATACACTAAATCTAATGAACATTATGGCTGCCCTTGCTATATTTACATGTTAATAATCATGCTTATAGTGATCCATAGTCAAGAAAATAACCTAATAGAGATCTTATTTCTTAACAAAATATAAAATAGCACGTATAATTTATTAAATACAATGCACTTTAAAAGTCCTTGTTGGGGCCGGGGAGATGGCTCAGTAGAATAAGCACTTGCCTGGCAAGCACCAGGGCCTGAGTTCAATCTCCAGTTCTGAAAAGAAAAAAAAAATGGTGAAATGAAAATCCACAGGATGGAGTGAAGAAGGAAAATGAGCTAAAGGA